TCTTGAGTGTTGCCAGCTGTGGGCCCAGCAGGCTGTAGTGCCGCCCAAACCACAGAGCTTGTCAGCGAGAAGGACGCAAGGACCCTCCTCGAAAGCTTTGCTGTATCTGGGTAGCTCTGCCCACAGCATGAGCTTCACCCGCCTGGCGAAGGCAGGACCCTCTTTGCTACCCCAGCACCGTCTCCCTTAAGGCCGCCCTCCTGCTTTTCACCTGCCGTCTTTCCAGGGCTCGGTGTTAGAGCCGAGGAGGTTGGGATTCGGATTTGTGGATGGGGTGGGGGCATATCTGCTCTTCTGGCACCTCCCCAGTTCTGGAGGGCTTCCCAGAGACATTGACAGAGGCCCCACCAGCTCCTCAGCCAGCTCTTTCGGCTTCCTAGGGTGGGTTCCCTCCAGGCCTGGAGACCCGAAGGCCTTCAGCTTGGCCGGAAGATCTTGACTGGCCCTGGGCCTCCTCTGCGGTGGTCATTCCCAGTCAAGCGTCGTCTTCTCCTCATCAAACTTCGCTAAATTTGCTTTCTAGGAGAGAGTCAAACAGGAGCCGGCTGCCTCTTGGCCAAGAAGGGAGTCCGTGGTCTTTCCTTCACTATCGGCCCTGCTGAAGGGCTCTCCTTTGCTGAACACGAGGCCCAAAGCCCTTTGCTTCGCTGCTGCAGCCTGTCCCTTCCTGGCCAGTCGGGTAACGCCAGCCCCCCTGAGCGGCCAGGGGTACCTTTTCATTCCTGATAATAAGGTAGTAATCCCACCTCTCTCTCCCAGCCTCTGTGGTTTCCCTCAAGGTTGCAGGTTCATTCCAAGTTCGCTTCAGCAAGATTTGCAAGGATCAGGAGTCTGACTGCCCGTGGGAATCCTCACGGGAACCCTGGGCAGTGAATGGGGGTTCCCTTGCCTCCCTTCCTGGCTTCCCAGGACAGTGTGGCCAGATTATAAGGAGGCAGGGGGTGGAGTACGGTGGGAGGCCCCCCACGATGGCAAAAGCCGCTTTGAGGTCCAGAGGTTGGAGTGGCCGCTGGGCCTTGGCACTTCCGATGGGGATGTGTCCCCAGTGGCCTTCGTCCCGTCTCTTTGGCCAGCTTCCCATTCCTCTCCTGGCACCCAGCGACTCTTCCAAGAGGTCTTGAGGACGTGGCTTCTGTTCTCCGTCAGCCTTGGGTTTCACAGGCTGACCACAGTCCATTTGACTTCAGGGAGAGACAGCACACCTGCCAGAAACCCACCTCTGCCTGGGGTCACCCCCTTGCTCTGGGGGAAGTAGATCTGCTCAGAGGGTGGCATCAGAGGGTCAAGCCAACAAACTCTTCCGCCACTTGGAGGACTTCCCTTCCCCTCCCAGAAGGTGCGATGGACCTTGGTCAGGAGAAGACAAAGGCCACGTTGTAGTGGTACACGCCCCCCCCCCAGACCCCCTCCTAGCTCTACTGGCAAAGCCGAGGTGTGGTGGGAATGGGTGGGCTTTCCTTGTGAGGCGGGCAGGTGCTTTGTCCCCTGGGGATGCCAGGTTTGGCTCCCTGCGTCCTTGGCAGAGCCCGGGTGCCGCCTCTTGCATTGCTCCAGCTGGGTCATCCCTTCCAGCCCCTGGCGCCTCGGGTTGCAGGGCAGATTGGGGGTTCCTTCCGTGGTGGAGGGCTGGGAGCGCTGGGAAGCCGGTTCCAGGGTGGGAGGGAGGGTCTCCCTCAGTTCCCTCCCAGAGGCCCCGTCCTTGCGGTTTGCTCTGGTCGTGGGGGGTGGGGGGTGGAGGTGTGTGTCCTGCTGCTTGGTTGTGGGGCCACAGGGAGCCCGGTGGATTTGCTGCAGATCTCCCAAGCGGTTCCCTGGATGGGGGGGGGGCTCTGTGTCTTTATTTGCATGTCCCCCCCCCAGCATTTCCTAGAGAGAGGGGGAACACAGAAGAGTGGCGGATTGAGGAGGCTGCCTCTGCATGGGGGGTGGGAGTGGGGGGAGGATGAGAATTGTTGGGGGGGGCTTTTTCTGGACCACCCCTTTGCCAGAGAAAAGGGACCGCCACACCCCTCCACTGAAGGACCCAATGCAAGCAGGAGGGGATTCTCTGGAGCAGGCGCTGGAGGCTCCGGCGGGGACCCTGTGGCCATGGCCCTCCGCGGCCTTTAGGGCCTCCCCCTTCCTGCCCCGCTGCCTTTGTTTTCGTTTCTTTTAAGCAGGCGCCTCTTCTCTCCCTTGAGCAGTAAGTTGAGCCATCCGCTTAGAGAAGGGCTCTGCCCCTCCTGCCCTCCCCCACCCTGCCCAAAGTCCAGCCAAGATGCCCGGCTGGCTGCCTGGTGGTGTTGGGTCAGGCCCCGGGATGGGGAGAGGCGGGCCTGTTTATTTCAAGGCCGCTGCTCACCAGGAACTGCCAGCCAATCAGGGCCTGCCTTGACGGCCAGGAGCCAGGCACCGAGCCAAGCCAGCCAATCAGGGCCTGTTGCCAGGCAATAAACGATGCCTTGCCTACCCTTGAAGGATGCCTTCCTGCGCCCCCAGCCAGCGAGGGGAATGGGTTTCTGGCGGCAAATGCCCGAGGGAGCCATCCCGCCCTGGGCTCCCCTGCCCTCTGTGCCCGTCCAGAAGAAGGCAGCCAGAGGCCAGGTCCCTTCTGTGGGGATCCTCTTTGCGCCTCTTCTGCAGTTCCCCACCCTGCTGGCATCTGCCCTGGCGACTCCCTGGCCGGCCTTGCCCGGACGTGGCTGTGCAGCCGAACGTGGCTCCCTTCTGGTCATGCCGTCAATCAAGTCCACTTTGCCGGGCCAGCCCTGTTCTTGCACAGGGGGTGTGTAGAAGGGGAGGCTCCTGAGCGGCTGAGTGACTGTGAGGACAGAGCAGTGAAAAGCACACAACCTCGCACGGAGCAGAGGCAGCCGTGACACAACCGGGATCTTTGCCTAATTGGGCATGTTACCTCCTTGAATATACCTGCTTTGCAAGGAAGTTGGCATCTTAATTCCTTTTCTTAGGGAGGGCTGGTTTGGGGTCAGCAAGGCGCTGCCCTGCAGAACGAAATACCCCTCCTCCATTTATGGATGTGGCCAGTCGCGATGGCTGATTTTAGCCCACATATTCTTGTGCACAGAGATTGGCCCTCCGTCACATGGAGCAGGGCGTTGCTGACCGATTGTGAGCCCAGGGCAGAGTTGGGGAGTCTGGGTTGGCAGGCAGGGGGGGGAGTCCCAGGGGGGTCTCAGTCCATTCCCTGGTTCCCTTCTCCTCTCCTTCCTGGGCTGCCTCCATCATCGTTCATCTTCGGTCCTGATAGGAGCTGCTCAGTGTTGCCACTTAGGGGCCTCTGGGTGGAAGAGATTTGCACCCACTGCCTCTCTCTTTGGGTGGGGGCTGTGGCTGTCTTGAGGGGGGGGCGGCTGCAGATCGGCTGCAATTGCTGTTTGAATCCTCGGTCTGATTCAGCTGATTGGGAAGGTCAAACGAATCTGATGCTTCATTTTGGGAAGATCTCTGGCTCAGTTTGATTTCCCAGACTAATTCAGGAAAGCTTCAAAACAGTTTTGGAGGGATCTCCAGTTCAGTGACTCCGTTCGGCTTTCCAGTTTGCTCCAGAGACTTGATCCAGTTTGCTCCAAACTGAAGCCCTGAGCAGCCCTGTCTGAGTTAGTGTTTCAGGGAGGGGGCTTCTCTGCAGGGAAGGGCAGCTGCGTCCTCCCCCCACCAGGCCCTGGAAAGAAAACTGCAGATGGTGGAAGGGGCTTTCTTCAGATCCCGTCTGCCAAAGGATTTGGAGTGGCAGGCTCCAAGAGGGGAGCCTTTTCTGCTGTGGCCCCCACCCCCTGGAATGCCTTTCCACTGGAGGGGAGCCCCCCCCCACTGGAAGACCCTTCCATCCTGGCCTGCCCCCTCCCGCTGTGCTTTGTTGTGGGTAGCTGAGGGGCCAGGAGGCCATTTTGCCTGTCCTTTGATTTTAGTTCTATAATTGTAATTGGTTTGTATTATCTTTTAAATCTTTTTATCATAGCAGAAGCTGCCCATGGTCGCTATAACAGAGAAATGGTGGCATGTAAATTTAATAATAAATAAATATCGAGCTTCTGAAGCCCTCCTGGGTTCTGCTTTTCCCGGCCAGCCAAAGTTAAAGGATCAGCAGCATTTCTGTCTTTCTAAAGACCCCACAAATCCAGGCGCTTTAGAAGTGGGGTGCCCTCCAAGTCATCCCAGCTCCTGCGCTCATTCACCCCTCGGCCCACTGACTTCCCTCCCGCCATGGCAATCTTGGGAGCCTGGCCTGGGCTGGCCTTCCTCCTACACCGGCTCCCTCCGTCCTGGGGCAGGGAGGAAAGGAAGGACCGGAGCCCTCCTCCCTTCTTGGCCATCAGCTGTCAGTTGGCTCAGGGGCCGACTGGGCTTTAACACTCGCGGGGACTTTTTGCTTCCCGGGTTTCCTTCCACAGCAACGGGAGGCCCCTCGTCCCTTGCAGAGTCGGACGGCCCCCATTCCAGCCGCCCCCTTCGCACTCCGCGGGACCCCCGCGACAGGCTGACAGGCTCTTCTCCCGGCCGCCGTTCCCGCGTCCTCCCTGGAGCCCGAACTCCGCCGCCCTCGCTCACCGGGGCCCCACCTGGGCCGAGACCCCCCCATCCCCCCCCGCCAAGGAGGGCCGGCCCTTCTCCCGCCGAGAGGAGCCTCGTGGGGCAGCTGCCCGAGCCGAGGGCCGCGGAGTTCTGCGGGCGGCAGCGGGGACGTTTCGGGAGCCTCCCCGCCGCCTCTCCCGGCCAGGCCGGCGGCCATCAGGCGCCGCATCAATGCCGCAGCGTCGGGGCCGCCTCGCTCCCCGCGCCTTTGCGCTGCCCGGGGCCGGCTGAGCCTCCGGCGGGGCCGCCCGCTCAGCTGGGGAGGCTGCGCGGCGGCGGCGGCGGCGGCGGCGAGCTGTGGGCCGGCCCGCGACGTAACGGCGGCGGGGGCGGGGGCGGCGGAGCGGGATTGCGCAGCCCCGCCGCATTGCCCGGATGCGAAGCTGAGCCGCCGGGCGGCGGCGGCGGAGGAGGAGGAGGCAGCGGCGGCAGCAGCAGCGGCAGCAGAGCCGGTCGCGCCCGCACCGGAGCCAGTGCAGCGGGCCGAAGTGAGCGCCAGGCGGGGGTCGGGGGCGCCCCAGGCAGGAGGGCAGCGGCGCGGCGGCGGCCGCGGGGGGCTGCGGGCGGCGGAGGGGAGCCGGGGCGGGCGGCTGAGCGCTGCGGCGGCGGCCGCCTTTGTGCGCGGCTGCTCAGGGCGTGTCTGCGCCGCCATTGCGGAGCCGGGCTCGGGGCCGCGGCGAAGGAAGATGCTGCGCCGGAGGAGCCGCCGCCGCCGCCCCGCGGGAGGGAGGGAGGGGGGAGACCGGGCTCGAGCGGCGGGGCTTCGGCCAAGAGGGGCCCGCCCTGCTCCGTCGCCCGCGGAGGGAGGCGCCCCTTCGGGCAAGCAGCGGGGGGGGGGCGGTGGCGAGTGGCCCCTGGTCGCCCCGGGGCCTCTTCAATCGGGACCTCGACCGGCACTTGACCGAGGGACGGGGCGGCCCCCGGGTGGCGAGGCGGCCTTTTCCATGGCTACAGGGAGCGCGGGCTGGGCTAGATAGGCTCGGGGGGCCTCCAGCTGTCAGTCTCCAGGCCGGAAAGGCCTCTGCTCCCGAGGGGCGGGCGCCGCTTTCTCAGGCTGGAAGGGCCCCTCGTGCGGGCTCCCGGTTGGGCCTTCCGTGCTGTAGCCGCTTTCAGGCCGGGTTGCACAACCCAGAACTCCCCCCCACCCCCCACGTCCCGTCCCGATTTTCTGTGTCGTGGTTAGCCAGTTACCCTTGGGGCCTGTTAATGTGGTCAGGGGCGACTGTCCTGCTTTCCCGAAGTTTGCCTCTAGCAACAGCCCTTAGTTGAGCTTGTCTGAGGAAGACACTGAGTTGGGTTTGGTTAGGACTTGGATGGGAGACCACAAGGAGATGTTTGTGGCAGTGGAAATTTGGGGGGAGGGAACCCCACTGAAGGGGCTGACCTCTGTCTTTCCAGCTCCAAAGTTCAGGGAGTCTGGACGCTGCTGAAGGAAGAAAACCCGTTTTCGTGTTCAGCGTGCTGGGTGAGCCCTTAGGTGGGCCAGGGAAGGTCCCCTGGTGAGCCAGCTGAGCCCCTGCCCTCTCTTTATGGGGTCACATTCCCCCCCCCACCCGCTTCCCTGGAATCTCTTCCCAGCCTTCGGAAGCTGCATGCAGAGGGGATTCTGTCCCAAGCCCTGCCAGCCCCGCCCCACCCCCATTGGCCAGAGGGTGCCTGCAGGCCTCTGCCTGCCCCGCTGCCCCCTGGCAGGTGCCAGTGCCAGGGAAGGATTCGAGGCAGTGAACCGACATGGGTCACAGGAGCTGAATAGCTGCTCCCCACCGCCAGCCCCCACTCTGGTTGGGCTGCAGTGGGGGCATTGCTTGTGCCAAGGTGGCGGCCCCAGTGGTGCCATGGCTGGGGGTGACTGGCACCGCAGGCGGGCTCCCCTGAAATCGAGAGCCGGGCTTCTTGGGGCTCAGCCCAGTTGGCCCCGACTGGGGGCTGCCCTCCCTGTGGGCCTCTGCCCTGGCCCTCTGACCCGCCAGGGAGGGCTGTGCGGGGGCTTCGTGCCAGAGGGGCCTGCTTGTGTGGCGCAATCCTCTCGCGGATTAGGAAGGTTTCAGAGAGCGAGGGGGGTGCAGCCAGCCAGTCTCCCCCACTCCCAGAGGCCTCAGCCTGGCCAGGCTTTCTCTACTGGGGGCTGGGAAGGGGGGGGTGAGTCCGCTGGGCACCGAAGCGACAGCCCTGAGCTGCACGAGACCCAAAGCTGGGTCAGCCGTGGCAGGAGGGGCGGGAAGAGGCGAGGAGGGGCCCCTCAACCAGGCCGGCCTTCCCTGGCTTCATTGCTATCCGAGGCACGTCCAGCCTGTGGCTGTTTTGCCTGATGCCACAAGGAGGGGCTGCTCCAGGCTGGCTTGTCCCACAGAGCCTGCCCCCCCCCCCTTGGCACTGTCAAGGAGATGGGGGGGGGGGAAGCTTTGGAGGGGGCAGGAGGACAGCGCAACCCACGGCGCCATGATGTTGCTAGGTGTTTGGAGGCGGGAGGGGGGCACTGTGTCATCTTCAGCAGGGAGCCCGGTCTTGACAACTCTCTAGCCGTGGGGGGGGGGGGAGACACGCTCTCTCCTTCCTTGCATGCCCTCCTCCTGCCCCGGGGAGGGAGCAGGTCCCCCTTCTTCCCTCTTTGGGGGGTGCGCCTTGGTCGGCTGCACCAAAAGAAAGGCAGCTTTGTACAGAGGGAAGATTTTTTTCTTGAGGGGGGGAGGAAACATTTGCAGGACGGATGTTCCCCATGGCAGTTTCTCTCCCCTCCACTCCCCCCCCCCCCCGGTCCTAGGCTTTGCGCTCTGCACAGGGACAGAATCGGATGCAGGGAGGGTGTGAAGCTCCCCAGGGCTTCACTCTGCTTGGCAGGCTCAGATGATGAGGCTCGGTCAGAGCCCCCCCTCCCCCTCTCCCTCCCTCCCTCCCTCCCTCCCTCTCTCTGCAGCTGGGCCTTTTCCAGCTTGGCATGGCTGCCTTCCCCTCCCCGTCCTCCCCAGCGGCAGAGGCAGCCGGATGTGCTGAGCTTTTCTGAGAGAAGCGGGGGGGGGGGGGGGGGGGCGGCGCCATGTTGAAAGGGGGGGGCGGGGGAGGCCAAGGAACCCTGGGCCGAAATGAGCAGCCAGGGCCGGGCTGGGCTGAGCAGCAGCAGCAGAGGGGAGGGCAAGAGGCCGCAGCCTGCGTGGCGTATCTCCCCTTGGATGGGCGGTTCTGGGGCCCCAGCAGAAGAGAGCGGTGGGGCTGGCACCAAGAGGGGCAGGGGGGATGCATGGGGTAAGGAGGCATGTCTACCTGGGGGTTTCCTGTCCCTGGTGGTCTCAAGGGGGGGGGTGCCTGGGGGCTACCTGTGCTTGGTCACTCCTAGCAACAGTGACTCAGCACGAGCCAGGAGCCCCCCCCCCCCCCGCTTGCTCCTGTCCTAAGAGGGCAGAGCGGGAATCGCGCTGCTGCTGGGCGACAGCTGGGCCCAGGCGCTTTCCAGGGCAGGGAGCTCAGCCAAGCGCCAACCTGGGTTTCTTGGCACCAACCGTGGAATTTGGAAGGGGCTTCCCCATCCTTGGTGATGTCGTTCCTCCCGGAGGCTGTGGAGGCAACAGAGGATGATGGCACAGTGAAGAGGGAGGAAGGGAGGGAGGGAGGGAGGAAGGAAGGAGGGAGGGAGGGAGGGCCCCAGCCCTCCTTGCCCCAGAGCAGCGTGGCGGTTCCATGGAGTGGCCTGGCCTCTTCCGGGCCACGGATGGGAAGGCCCAGGGCCGTTTCCTCCCCGCGTGGGCAGCCAGGGCTGGGCAAGATGCCCTTGAAGTTGGGTTTGCCAGGGGTGACCCAGGAGTCCCCCAGAGTGGTCTGGAAATGACAGCTCCCTCCCTCCCTCCCTCCCTCCCTCCCTCCCTCCTTTCTCTTCCCTGGCACTTGTGGGCCCGGGAATGTCCCCCCCCCCGTGCCCCTTGAGGGGTGGGGCTCCCTAAGCTCTGACCATGACAGAACTGCCCCCTTGCTTGGCTTTTGCCCCCCCCCCCCCAAGACGGGGCATCCCAGAAGCCCCCTGGTGTTTTCCTGGCCTTTGGGCTCTCCCCTCTGCCCAGGAAGCCCCGAGGGAGGCTGAGGGAGGGGCTGGGGGTCAGGCCAATCTGGGGCACCCTACCTGCTGGCCGGACAGAGGCATCCTGGGAAACCCTGCGAGGGGGCAGCCACCGTAGCTGCTCCCAGCCAGGCTGGCAGGCGTAGCGGCCACTGAACCTGCCCAGGGCTGGGGCCTTTCTGGCTGATGTGCCCTCCAGTTGTGGCCGAGTCTTAGCAACCACACAGGTTTCCTCCATGGCGGTGTCTGGGAAACTCCCTCCTCCTCCTCCTCCTCCTCCCCCTCCTCCTCCTCCTCCTGTAGACTTTGTCTTCCCCAGACAGGAATCCGGGAGGGGATTCGGTCATTTGGGAATTGCAGCTGTGCCCTTTCCCCAAAGGTTGGCTTGGGCTCAGCTTGCTTGGTGAAAAAACGGGGTTCAGGGGGCCTCTTTTCTGAGCCACAAACATCTTGAAGGCACCAGCTCTTGTGGCGTCGTCCTTGGGGCTCTCTGAGCTCAGCGGTTTTCTTGCAGACGTTTCCTGGCCCAACTGGGTAACCTCATCAGTGTTGGAAGGGAGGGGAGATTGCTCTCCGTTTCGTGTGCTAATTAATGACTTGCCCCGTCAGCACCGTTGGGGGGGGGGGACTATTTTCTTCTTGGTGCTTCCTTGGTGAAGCCGCTGCGTCCTCCCCAGAGCAAAGCGAACCGATGAAAGACCTCGACGCCTCCTGGCCTGCAGTCCACACCCAGATAAGGAGAGGTTTACGCCTAGCAGGAGGCAACACTGAAAACAAGCTAGCGGTCAACTGCAGCCTCACCGAGGAGTTAGAAAGAAGAAAGCAACAGCCCCCCCCGCCAACGCCTAACAGAGCAAGCCACTTGTGTACAAACAGAGAGCGGGGCAGCCCACTCCCTCCTAGCATGGGTGATGTTATCTAGTTGGGTAATCAAATGCCTGCAAGGAAACGGCCAAGCCCAGAGAGCACCAGAGCGCACGAAAGCTGCTGCTTTTGCGTCAAATTGCTGGGCGCCTCCCGATTTCTGCCTCGTGGACGGACCTTCCTCCTCCCTCGTCCACGTGCATTTGGTTGCTCGAAGAGAGACGCTTCGAGGTGGCCTCCATTGTTGAAGGCGGGGGGGGGGTCTCTAGCAGACAATTGGGGCAGGGGGCCCAAATTCTATTTTTGTTCTGACTCAGAGTGGAGAGTTTTTTTGAGGGGGAGGCCTCATCCCATGGGGTGCTGCTAGGCGGAGTGTGGAAGGCAACACGGGGTGCTGCAGGCGAGAAGGGAAGCCCCCCTACCCCCAAAGGGACAGGGGTGAAGGGGGGGCTCCCCCCCCGCAGGCTCCTCACGCAAGAAAAATGTGCAGCCTCTGGCGGTTCAGCTTTCGACAGAGGAAGGGAGAGCTCCATTGGGGCTCTTTCGCTCTGTCTGCGTGTGTGTGTGTGTGTGAGAGAGAGAGAGAGAGTCCTGGTTTTGGGGGGAGCCCAGGGTGGCCGCCTTGGTCAGCCTTGGGGTGTGGTGCGTGTGTGTCCGTTGTGATACCTTTCTCCCTTTGCGCTCTCCCCCCTTCCCCCCCCCCTTAACCTTGGTCTGCCTCCTAAAGGCTTCGCTCTTTCTGAGCTCAGCACCCGAAAACCTTTCAGACGTGACCCGCCTTGTTCAGCGCCCCAAATGGATAGGAAGGGACCAGTGCGAAGAGGGGGTTTCTCCGGGGGGCCCTACCTGGGGCGGCCGATGGGGGCTGAAAGGACCTGGGAAGGGGCTCCAGGGGCCGCTCTTGATTTGGGTCAGCGCAAACCTAGCAGCTGTTTTTTTCTCGGCGAAAGTCCCAGTCAACCAGGGCAGGCGGCCTGGGGAAAGGGGGTTTCTTCCCATTTGCTTTGGCAGTGAAAGGTGAAAGGGAGGCACCCAGCAAGCGGGGGGGGGGGGGGAAGGGGGCTGCCCATGTTGCTTGGTGAGCCTCCTCTGTGGAGACGTTCCTGCAGAATAATTGCCCACCCCCCTACCCCTGGTGGGAGATTCCTGGGTGACAGTCCTGGGAAGGGGCTGCTGAGGGGTCCTCCGAGATACGGTCGGGGGTGGGGCCGGGGGCTGAAAGCTGAACTTGCCCTCTTTGTCCCCGCCAGGTCTTGGGCTGCCCTGAGGAGGCGTCTTCTGCCAGCCGCTCTGTCCCCCAGGGCCCATCCATGGGCAGCTCCAATGCCGCAGGTGCCCTGGCGAATGGGACCGGAGATGGATAGCCCCCCCAAGCTGACAGGAGAAACACTGATCGTTCACCATATTCCGCTGGTGCATTGCCAGGTGCCGGACCGGCAGTGCGGCAGCACCACCCAGCGCACCAACCCTTTCTTTCCCTTCGACCTGGGGGTCAGGCGGGCCAGTTCGCTCCCCGAGAAGACCCTCCTGCACACAGACTCGCTGGTCTACAGCAGCCTCCTCAGAGCTTCCGACGGGGCTCCGGAAGAGGAGCCGGTGGGTGGGCGGAGCCCTTCTCCAACACTGGCTGTCCCTGCAGCCCCCCGGCGGCAGAACCCCTTCCTGCTGAAGGACGGCGAGGCCTGGGATCTCTCTGAGGACGACTCGGAGCAGAAGTCCTTCCACCTGCACGATGGCCGGTCCGCCTTCCGCCTGCACGAGCCGGCGCTGCCCCCCTTCCATCTGCACGGTAGCAGCCCAGTGGTGAGGCCCTGGGATGGCGGCCAGCGGGGGGACCCGGTGGAAGGCCACGCTGGCCTGGCAGCCGATGAGGACGCTCAGGACAAGGGCTACCTGGTGGCAGAATGCATGGAGCTAGACGAGTACAGCTGCCACCGTGGGGACCCCTCCAGCCTCTCCCTGGAGCAGGAGTGGGCCAGCGAGTCAGATGAGCTGATGAACAACCCGGAGGCCGCCCGCAGCCGGACGTGCAGCTGCTCCACCTCCGAACTGCAGCGCTGCCGGTGCTACAGCCTCTCGAGCCAGTCGGAGCCCCTGGACCAGCAGATGGGCTATGTCAGTGACTCCTCCTGCAACAGCTCCGACGGCATCCTGGTCAACTTCAGCACCCTCTACCAGAGGCGGCACGGCCACCCTCACACCAACCTGAACTCGGGCCCCTTGTCCTGCGACTCCTCTTCGGGCAGCCAGTCAGACGTGGCCGCCTTTTACCTTGACCTGCACTCCTCTTCCCACGAATCCAAGATGCCCGGAGAACTGCAGGATCTGGAGGGGCCGGGGAAGTCCTGCGGGTGCCACCACCCTTCCTCCCCTGTCCTGGACGCCAACTGCAACTCCTACCCACCGCTCTGCGATCCCTGCCCGTCCGATGGCTCTGACCTGACCGCCTGCTTCCAGAGCCAGGCGCGGCTCGTGGTGGCCACCCAGAACTACTACAAGCTGGTGACGTGCGACTTGTCCTCCCAGTCCTCCCCCAGCCCCCCCGGCTCCTCCATCACCAGCTGCTCTGAGGAGCAGGCCAGGGGCAGCCCCCTCCAGCCCACCGAGTACTACCTCTTCCAGAGACCTGGGGAGAGTGACACGGAGGGGTCCCGGGAGGAGGGGTCCCAGGAGGAGTCGGAGAAGAATGCCATCGAAGGACAGGTCTACATCAACGTCTCCCCGCCCAGCCTGGCCGCAGGCAGGCAGCGCTCACGCAGCTACGACCGCCACCTGGACCGCAGCAGCCCCTCCAGCCGGCTGGGCTCCCTGGAGCGCATGCTGAGCTGCCCGGTCAAGCTGAGCGACAGCCCCTCCTTGGCCCTCCAGAGCTCCCCTCCCAAGCGAGTGACCTCCTTCGCGGAGCTGGCCAAGGGCCGGAAGAAGAACGGCTCCTCGCCGCCCATTCGGACCAGCCGGGACTCGTCCCTGGAGTTCTCGCCCATCCCCGAGGGCCAGAGGGACAGCTCCGTCTTTCTGGAGAGCCGGGAGGGGCACAGCCAGACCCTCCCAGCCCTGCCCTTGGCGGGCTCCGAAGGGGAAGATGCCAGGAGAGCCGCCGCCTTCAGGGAGGTGCCCACCTGTGGTCAAGAGGAGGACGAACCGCTCTTTTTCTCTGCCGTGTCAGAGACGGGGGCTGGCGGCAGCATCTTTGGCCAGAAGGAGATTCGAGCCCGAGCTGATGGTAAGCCCCCCGCCCCCCGCCCCTCTCCCACTGCGGAGGGATGCCCGGTTGAGGGAAACTGAGCGGGGCTTAGGCCAGGGGGAGCCTCACTCTAGTAATAAATGCCCCCAATCCTTACTAGGCCGGGGTTCAGAGATGCCCCATGGCTGTTGGCAGGGAAGAGCGTGGAAGTGGCTGCAGGGACGGATGGCCGGCTGTCCTGGCCAGGGCCCTTCCTTGGGCACTGCAGCAAGAGCCACCGAGCTGGGCAGGTTGAGAAGGTTAGCTGGATTCTAGATCCATGAGGATGAACCTGTTGGACTCAGAATCTCAAAAGTTGAGGAAACACCTTCCGTGACTCTGCTGGTGTGTCATCCCACCCACTTTGGGCCAAAGAGGCCTCTCTGGACGTTCCTGTCGCCTGGACTCGCCCTCCCCCCGGACCCTCTGAAGCCTCCCATGAGGGCCCTGCTGCCTCGGGAGCGTCAGAAAGTCGCACGAGAACCCTTGCGCAATGGTTGGACGCCTGGGAGGCTGTGCGAAAGCAAGACCTTCTCGCATGACTTCCAAAGGGCCCAGAGGTCGGGCGTGTCACCAAAAACGGCACTGTGACACACATATCCCAGGTTCCCCCTCACTGTTCTCGATCCTAATGGAGGAGGGTGGCTGTGCTTCCACCGCTCTTTATTGTGGCTGCTTCATGGAGGGCCCTGCGGGAGAGGAGGGGGCATCAGAAGGGGGTATGTGGGTCCCTTCAGGTCCAAAAGCCCCCCCCCCGGAGGGCTCTTCCGAGCCAGGACAACCTGTCCAGCCGCAACACTTTTGTGGGATTTGCAGTCCAGCCCCACTCGGCCATCCCCCCCTTTACGTCCGTCTAGGGCCGGTCAGGGAGAGGATGGGAAGAGGAAAGCATCGACCGCTGTTATGAGCTTTGTGGGCACCGCAGTGATTCCTCGTAGCAACAGCTGTGACCACGGGTTGTCCTTCAGGATAGCTAGACAAGGAGATCCTCTGCAGCCGCGTTGTGTGTGTCATTTAATGGGGTGAAAAATAATGTTTGCAATTTTTTTTCAGTGAGGGGTTCTAAAAGCAAGTATTTTTACACTAAGAATTCAAATCTGCTATTATTTTTGCAATTGCACGATATTTAGCTTGTTATGGTAAATCCATGTCTGATCATATACCCCACAAAAGTTTTTTGTAATCCAAGTACTGTTAGCTTTATCTTCTCAGAATTACACCTTGTGTTACAAAAGTTGGCTCTTTTTCTGCATGAATCTTATTTAGCTAAAACAAAAAACAATCCATGCATCATAAACTAACGTCAGAAAGCAATTATCTGACTTACAAAAATGTTTAAGCGAGTTTCCTCAAGTCTTGTTTTGATTCCTTCTTCGGCACGAGCCGCTCACTTGCTTCTTGGCCTCTGACATAATCCTCCCATTTCTCCTGGGTCTCCTCCCTGCTGTCTGTTTCTTTGACCAGTTTCACACATCTGTTGATTGGGCCCGACAGGCCACTGGGCTCCTCGCATTGGTTCGTCAGTGAACTTCTTTATTTCCTCTGTGGCCACTTTGCACCTCCAAGGTGGCTCCTCTACACCTTCAGACCAGTCAATCAGAGCGGAAGTTCTGGTGTGGATTAAAGGCATCTTTCTTGCCCATCCAGAAAAATATCCCCGTGTGTCATCTTCTGCACCCCCCAAGTCAATGGTCTTTTGCACTCCGGTTCTCCTCTCTTGAATGCCACCTGAACCCAAGACCGTCTGGATTATCATTTCAGTGAACGCGTGCCATGCTGAGCGCTGAATGGCTGGCAAAACAACAGTTACTTTCAGCCTCCTTTTGCAATCTGACTTTCTTCCGCTGGAACAACGAACACATGATGTGAGCCTCCAATTCAGGGGTGTTTTACTTTGATCTAGAACCAGCAAGAGTAGGACGCAACAATGGTGTATTCCACGATCATTCTGAAGTTTTGGAGAGTTTTGTCTTTAAAGCCATATTTTGAAACGCATATTCGACAAAGGCTATTTGCAGTTGTGAACCAGTGTGAATGACTTTTGGGCCCAGAAGAACCAGGTGTGTGGGAAGTTCTCCTGTGTGATCCTATATCCGTATGATCGATCCTTTACAACACTGTTCAGCTCAGTGAAATGAGAGGATGACCAGCTGAAACCCTGGTGAATGAAGGATCCATGTCAAGTTTTGCTGCACTGTCTAGCATGTTGCCAATTTTACACTGCTCATTTGTTGTTAGTCAAGGTAATAACAGAACAGAACAGAACAGAATAGAATAAACAGAGTTGGAAGGGACCTTGGAGGTCTTCTAGTCCAACCCCCTGCTCAACCACTTCAGACAAATGGTTGTCCAATCTCTTCTTAAAAACTTCCAGCGCTGGTGCATTCACAACCACTGGAGGTTCCATTGATTAATTGTTCTAACTTTCAGGAAAGTTCTATTTAGTTCTAAGTTGCTTCTCTCCTTGATTAGTTTCCACCCATTGCTTCTTGTCCTGGCCTTCAGGTGCTTTGGAGAAGAGCTTGACTGCCTCTTCTATGGGGCAGCCCCTCAGATATTGGAACACTGCTGTCATGGCACCCCCGTCCTTCTCTTCATCAAACTAGACATACCCAGTTCCTGCAACGGTTCTTCATATGTTTTAGCCTCCGGTCCCCCAATCCTCTTTGTTGCTCTTCTCTGCACTCTTTCCAGAGTCTCCACATCCTTTTACACATTGTCTTCCCATCCAATTCTGTGATCGAGTGTAGGTGTAACTCATTCGTGTGGAGTGCACACACCAACCGGTCAAGGTTGACCTCTACCCAGTGCATGGCATCACCTTCACAGCCGGTATTAACACTTGTAGAATTTCCTCCACTGACCTTCAAGCTTTTGTCAATGCCTTTCCTCCCCCTCCCCCCCTCCCCCTCTCCTCCTCCTCCTCCTCCTCCTCCTCCTCCCTGAAATACACCAGATGACCTGCAAGCCCTTGAGTGGGTCCTCCTGCTTTTGAGCCTTTCTCTGGAGTGAAATGATAAAGAGATTTTCCAGCCGGCCCACTGCACTCAGAATAATGTTCTTCTGTGACGGTTCTGGGGAAGTGCTGGTCTGAACTGTTTAATTGCCTCTCTATGGCCACCCAAGAAGAGGCATTCTCTTCCGCCCTTCCTGCACAGCTCGTCCAATGCTTGAGCTAGGGACTTTTTTCCTGGGCTCTCTTGACTTTATTGTGGTCAACTACAAGTCTCTTGTCTTCTTCAGTGATCAAGCCAACACCTACGAAGGCGGCTGTGGTAACGGCAGCAGCGGCACCTGGACCAACGCCGTATCTTATGCTCTGCATAGCGGCATTTGTTATTTCTAATCTACCGAATTCTGTCTTTTCTTTTGAAGTAGAGGCCCCTGGGTTTGGTCTAAGGCAGGGGTATCAAACTTGTGGCCCACGGCCCTGATGCGTCACACACTGGCCAGGCCCACCCCTGGTTTAGCAAAATCAGGATAAGTCACGTGACGACAACGTGATGCCGTGAGTTTGACCCCCCCCCCCCGGTCTAAGGTCTCTTCATAACTTCCATCCCATTCCTCTTCATCTTCATCATCAGCGTAGCCTTCATTTCCGTCGTAAGAGATCATCACGTCATTTGTCGGTATTGAAATATCTGGAATACTTCTCTGATTCTATTTAGCGAGCCTTTTGCTCTCATCGTTTTCCGCTTTTGGCTTTTGCCTCGTCGTTTCTGCTCGGGCACATCTGGCAAACCAATCTGGTGTGATCCAAAAGAACCAATCTTGTCTCGCGGACCCTTCACGAAAGGACAAGTTCCTTCAGTGGTACCTTCGTCTCCTTAGGGCAGGTACGGTTACGGGGAGCTTCTTTTTTGCAGCCAGCAGGGCAGCTGGACTCGGCACGCAGAACCATTTGACCTTTGCAGCCGAGGATGTCAAACCGTTGGTCAAGTTTCACAGTGAAAGTCTCTTTGGCATCTAGCTTTCCTCTACCAGGAGATCTATTTCTGGCTTGATCCCATCTCTCTCGGATCTTGTTCAAGATTGGCACTCGTGAATTTACAGCAGGGATCACACGACAGAACTTTTCTCTCGTTCCCACTTTTCAAGCACTTTTGGATAAATGCCTCTTGCAAGACTGGCTGCTGGGTGGTTTCTAGCATCATCACTTCTTCGTTCTCTTTAACGGTAGGCCGTATCTGAGAAGGTCTCGCAGGGTTGGGAGTTCAGACGGCAACAAGTCTGTGCCAGTCCCAGTTAGGTTGCTCATATGAGTGAATGTTCTTTTTTTAGAAGCCATTACAAATCAGTTATCACACTAACAGGAAACGAGGCCAGCAATATTAACACTCTCAGACAAAATAACATTTAACAAAAAGAGAAAGGCAGCTGAACCTGTAAAATGAAACAAACAAAATGTTAAGTTATGATATTTATGTAGTTTCTTACCAAACACATCTACATTATGTTAAACTAGCCCAAAAATCTTTACATTCCCCAAGGCAGGTCACAACTTTTGAGCACCCCTGATATTTGGAAATGGAAAGTTGAAAAATTTAACACTGTGGAGCGGCTGGAATCATTGTGTAGGCAGCAAGACTCTAAAGGTTTCTTGTCTGAGAACAGGATGAAAAAATTAGAAAGCACAAGTCTACGTTTTGAAAGCGATGATAGGGGAAATTCAGAAAAATGTCCATATTTTTGTATTTAATTTAAAATGAATTGTTTGAATTTGGATGAAAAAAAACCTGACATCCTGGGCCACAGAATGAAAACTCAAGCCAATTTGAGGAAAGGTAACAGGGCAAACGCAGAGACCTCCAATTTAAGGAGCACAACTCGACGCACAGCCTAGGCCTGCTGGGCACTTGGGAGGGGCTGGGGGAGGGCAGCGGTTCTTGCCAACCTGCTTGACTTGTGGCAGCGGGAAGCACCTTGGCGCCCTGTTGGCCGAGGATGCCTCCTCACAAAGAGGGGAAGACAGCTTGGCAGGCGGGTGGGTGGCAAGCCTGCCTAGGACGAGGGATGGAAGGGATCGTGGCCCGGCCCAGTCTTGAGAAGCCCCAAAGGGGGACTTTGAGGGAGCTCCCCCCACCCACCCACCCCTCAAGCCCCGAACTATCCTTCTGAATTGAAATTCCAGTTTGGGCACAGCTTACGCCAGTCTTAATCCTCTCCCCCACCCTCCCAGCATCCTGAGCTGCCTAGCGGGTTGCGCCAACTTGGTCATGATGGGGAATAACCAACCAGGGGTCTCCCTACCTGGCAGGGTCTGGGGGAGAGGCCTTAGGGAGGGCATCCCCTGCTGGTCGGCGGGGGGGGGGGGGGGGCTGCCTTTCCTCCTGTGCCCCCACCGGCCCGTCAGGCCAAGCTGTGCAGAGGGCTGGGCTGGCTGTGCCGCTTTCCTCCGCCGTCTCTCCTCCCCTCCTGCAGGTGGCGCAGCGGATAGCAAGGTGGTCCGCTACAGCAAGGACCAGCGCCCGACCACCTTGCCCATCCAGCCCTTCGTCTTCCAGCACCACTTCCCCAAGCCGATGAAGGGCCGGGCCCTGCACAGCCATTTGGCCTCCAGCCTCTCCCAGCTCTACAGCCTCTCGGCTGCCACGGCCGCTCGCCCGGCCAGCCGACTCCCCTCCTCTGCTTCCCAGTCCTCCACCTCCACCGAGGGGCCGGGGGGCCACAGCCAGCGTTCGGCCGATGGGGCGGTTTCCCTGGGCGAGGGCCCTGCCAAGAGGGGGCCCGGGCCAGAGACCACCCGCCTGTCCCCGCTGGGCAGTTACTCTCCGGTGCGCCACCACGTGCCTTTCTTCCAAAGTGGGGGGGAGCCCTCCTCCTGCTCGCCCACCCCGGAGACGCAGCCCCCCCGCAGCAAGTCCTGTCCGGTCTCTGCCAACCTCCTGCCCAGCACCAAAGCTTCTCCAGATGCTGCCAGCTGTGCCACCCAGGGAGCCCCGGGGGCCGGGGTCCTGCAGAAGCAGAGCAAGAGCCCCTCGCTGGTGGCCAAGAAGAAGGAGCCCCCCGGCCCCCCTGCACCCCCGGCCAAGGACCGGCTCCCCGTTGGCTCCCTCCAGCCGTTGTTGTCCGGTGGCTGGAGCCTGGCCAGAGCGGAGAGCCACAGTGAACCCCACTGGAAGATGGGGTGCAGCGAGGCTGCCAGTTTCAACTCCTCGGGTGGTGGCATCCCCCGGCCCCTCAACGGTAGGTGGGAATTGCAGGGAAAGGCTTCACTTTGCATGCCCGGAGTGTGTGTGTGTGTGTGTGTGTGTGTGTGTGTGTGTATGCTATAGGTAAATAAATGGGGGGGGGTCTGTTCTGCCCCTTGTAGTTGGGCGTTTCAGGGAGCCTGGAAGTTCGTCTGTCCCCAGCTGGGTCCCTAGGGAGCCCCGAATGGCCCCCGGGCGCTTGGCCTCCCTGCCCTTCCTGGGCAGGGCCAAGGGGGGAGGAGGCTCCCCGGGGGACCAGCCACCCTGTGGGGGCCATCCAGATGTGCCGGGTGCTGAGTGACCCCTGAATCGCCCTTTCACCCGAGGCAAAGGGGGGGAGGCGGGGAGGCCTCTGCGGGGGAGGCAGGCAGCCTGACCTCAGGGCCTCCTTCACACACACACACACACACACACACACACGCACACACACACACGCACACACACACACACACACACACATCTCACCTACCCCATGAGGTGCTGGCCAGGTTGCTACCCTGCATGGGGGGGGGGGACGGTGTCCCATCTCAAATGCCGCTGCTGCTCAGGGTGGCCTGTCTCTTGTCTCCTCCCCCGGGGCTTCGGCTGCTGCGGCCACAGCCAACCACCTCTCTCTGCAAGCCCTGAAGTGGCGGGAGTACCGACGGAGGAACCCCTTGGGGCTGGACCACATCTCGGACCTGGCAGGACTGACCGGCCACCTGGACTGGAAGCAGCCAGAGAGCAAGCCGCCCTGGAGGAACCCTCTGCTGGAGATGCCGGCCGGCCACTCCAGACCCCGACTCCACGGTGCGCCTGGGCCCTTGCCGGCTCCCCTGGCTGGCCGGCCCAAGGAAAGGCTCCTAAGGGGCCCCGAGGCCCTGGGGGCTCCCCAGAAGGGGGGGGCTGCCGTGCCCCCTGCCCCTCGCTTGCCCCCTCCCCCAGCCTGGGGTCTCCCTGGAGTCAGAGACGTCGCAGATAAACAGGGCTTTGCTTCCATGGCTGCCAGAGACGGTGTGGGGTGGGGCGGCCCCAGAGCCCCATCAAGTAACCGGGTGGGCCTGCCCTGCCCCCCTTCCCCCCCCCCATGTCTTGCAGGACCGGCGGTGAAAGAGCCACTCCAAAGCTTTCCTGACTTCTTCCCGGACTGTTTCTCCTTGGCCGAGAAGCCACCGGCCGAGTTCTGCCTCTCCCCGGACGGCAACACCGAGTCCATCTCCGTCGATCTGCTGCAGAAGAAGGGTCAGTCGGGGGGAGGGGGCACTTGCCCACCCATCCAAGGTCTCTCCCATATGCACCAAGGGGGCTTTCCTGGGGGGGGGCGCTCGGGTAGAGGATGGAGGGCAGCGAGGAAGGCTCGGCTCCCCTTGCAGAGTGGGCCGTGGTGCCCTCCAACCTTGGCAGCCGGGCTCCCCTTGCGGAGGGTCATTGCCCAGAGCAGAGCCGTCTTTCGAGGGGGCTTGTGGGGAAGGGACCCGGTGCAGTCAGGAGAGAGGGCTCCGACCCCCCAGCTGTTTCCGAAGACCCCCCCAGATGGGACCCTAGTTCAAACATGTGGCCGTTAGGCATGGCAAGCCCCCTGGAGGGAGGGGTCTTGGGAGAAAGGGAGGCGGGGGTCTTTAGGGTCCCTCAGCTGCTCTGCACTTTCAGCCCCCCTCCCCGGTATGGCTTGAGAGGAAGAGAGTAGGGTTCATTTGACACAGAAGAGCCCCCAGCCCCCCAAAGTCTGGGGCCAGAAGAGCCCCCCCCCCGAGGCCTGGACGGGAAGGAGGGGCCGAGGCATCTGCACGGGTGAGGGGCAAGCGCGGCCTCTTCTCTTCCTTCCGTCCACCAGGTCTCATCAAAGCGATCAACATGTCCGTGGACCTCATTGTGGCCCATTTTGGGACCAGCAGGGATCCCGGAGTGAAGGTGAGCTGGCTTTCCTCTTGGTCTCCTCTCCCTTCGGCGCCCCCATCGATCCGGCGCGAGGCCTTCCCTGCAATGGGCCTTTAAGGCATGTCCACCTCATGGGCATCGCCGGTGCCTCTGCCGCTTTGGGGCAGTTGAGGGTGGCGGGAAGTGGGGTGCCCTTCGGAAAGATGGACGCATCCGCCCCGAGGAAGAGGAGCGGGTGGAGAGGGAACTCAAGGGGGCCTGTGGACTCCTGGCTACAAGGTTCTGGGGTTGGGTGCGGCCCCCCTTTGAGGGCTGGTGGGCAAGCAGACCAGAATGTCCGGCCAAGAGCTTGACCCCCCCTCCCCCCGCCTCCACCCCACTTTCCAGGAAAGCTCTCCTCCCCCTCCCTGGGGCCGAGCCCAACGGATTTTGCCTGGGGGGCGGCCCAGGGTGGGCCCCACACCCCACGGGCCTGCGCACGACCGAGGCGGGGGCTTTCAAGAGCAGCACCACCACCACCCCAAAGCCCAAGCTGAGCTGGGGGGGCCTCCAGCCAAGCAGAGGGGTGGGGAAGAGCGGCTACTGCTGTGCAGGTCTGGGGGGGCTTCCTTGGTTCCCCTTTGGAAAGAAGGGGGGGGGGGGGCTTTGCCTGCCAACCAACCCCCCCCCCCACCTTCTGCGCTCCTCCGGCTCAAGTCTCTGCAAAGCCCGCGGGGGGGGGGGGGGGGGGAGGGCGGGGGGGGGGAGGGGGGAGGCCTGCCCCCCCCATGTGACCTGTCCTCTCTCCTCCAGGCCAAACTGGGGAACAGCTCAGTGAGCCCTAATGTGGGGCATCTCGTCCTGAAGTACCTGTGTCCGGCCATCCGGGACGTCCTGAGCGACGGGCTCAAGGCCTACGTGCTGGACGTGATTGTTGGCCAGAGGCGGAACGTCCCCTGGAGCATTGTGGAGGCCTCCACGCAGCTGGGTAGGCGGCTCCCGGTCCGGCCTTCCTGCCTGGGCCTCCCAGGATCCCCCCGTCTTCTCCCGCCCTGGGAGGGCCCAGGCTCCCTCCAGCACCGGCCAGCCCTTGCCTGCATGGCGCGTGAGCCTGCCCCGGAGGAAGAATCGGGGGGGGGGGGCATCCAGGTGCCCCCTGGGGCCTTGCTAGGCAGGGGGGCTTGCCAGAGTGCCTGCGAAGGAGGGTCAGTCTCTGCCCTCCAGCTGCTTAAAAGGGACCGGCTGCCCATCGGGGCCAGTGGGGAGCAGCAGGAGGGGAACACTGGCTCGAAAGTCCCCTCCGGGGGGCGCCCGTTTGGACCTGAAGGGACCCACATGCCCCCTTCTGATGCCCCCTCCTCTCCCGCAGGGCCCTCCACGAAGGTCCTGCACAGCCTCTACAGCCGTGTCAGCCAGTACCCGGAGCTCACCAGCCACAGCATGCGCTTCAACGCCTTCATCTTCGGCCTCCTCAAGTGAGCAGGGCTGCATCCCCCCCCCCGCCCCACCCCATTGCGGCCGGAGCCAGGGGGGCCAGGGGGGTGGGGGCCGCTGCTCTGCCCCCGGGAAGGAGGCAGCGGGAGGGAGGGGGCCTCCTGAAGCAGCGTGGCTCAACCTCAGCGACCCCCAGGATTCCCCAGCCTGCCCCACCCCGACCCTCACCGGACCCGGCCATGCTGGCTAGGGAATTCTGGGAGTTGAAGTCCACCAATGAGTGTGGCCAGAACGCAAAGGCAGCACCGGAAAACGGGGTTTTTTGGACCAATGTGGGCAGGCAGACCAAAGGACCCAGCCTGCCCCAGCTCTGAGGCTGCCCTGCTCCCCACCCCCGGCCGACCGATGGGCAAGGCTGAGAGGCTCCGTGGCAGGGAAGGGAAACTGGGAAGCCACCAGTAGCCCCAGGGGAGGGAGGCCAGCCGCTACGTAGGGGGAGGTGGCCCAAGCGAGGCTTCCCGCTTTCCTGGACGCTGTGGGAGCAGCCGCTGTCCGTGGGCCGGACCGACCCTCCTCGGAGGGGCTTTTGCTCAAGCAGAGCTTTGCTCCGTACAGGGGAAACGAGACGCTTTCTCCTCCAGCCAGGATCCAGAGCCCCCACGAACTCTGTGCTCCAGGGTGGCCCAGGCCTCTCGATGCTGAAGCAGGTGCCCAGGTGCACCCACAGCCGAGGCCCTGGTGCCGATTATTCTTCTAGCCTTGTGTTCTTATCCTGCTGTCCTTTTTCCGTATAGTTTTTGTCCAAATCAAGGCTGCAAACATACCCGGCAGTCCTGCCCCCCCCTCCCCCCCCCTGTTTTCCCCACAACAACAGCCCTGTGCGGTGGGAGGGGGAGGCCCAAAGTCACCCAGGCAGGCGAGACTAGAACTCACCGTCTCCCGGTTCCTAGGCCAGCAGCTTCACCACGGCCCCATGTGGCCAGCAGGGCCCAAACGGTTCCTCTGGCCGGGCGCTCCTGCCTGTCCTCACGCTCTCTCTGCCTTCTCCCCCAACAGCATCCGGTCCCTGGAGTTCTGGTTCAACCACCTCTACAATCACGAGGGTAGGTCCCTGGCTCCTGACCGCAGTGGGGGAGGGCCGTATGCTGGGGACGGGCTGGGGGGTTGCCCAGGCGGGGGCCCTGCCCTCAGGAGGCTCGGCCGCTCTTGCCAGGCAGACGGCCGCCATGCCACTGGGCAAGGTGCCCCTTCCACCGCTTCCGAAAGAAGGCAGGAAGCCCGCGGGGGGAGGGTGGAACGGGGGGGGGTTGGTAGGTGGAGCCGGGCAGCCCGGAGCCTCCTCCGGCTGGCCTGGCTGGGGCTCTGAGCTGCCTGGGGACCCCCCTGACGGTGCCCTTCTGCCCCTCCAGATGTGCTGCAGGCGCACTACCAGCCCACGGGCTTCCTGCCGCTGGCGCACGGGCCCTGCCAGGGCCTCTTGGAGGAGCTGCTGCTGCTGCTCCAGCCCCTCTCCCTGCTGCCCTTCGGCCTGGACCTGCTCTTCGAGCACCACCTGCTGCAGGAGGGCAGGTGGCAGCAGCGGCAGAAGGAGCTCCTGCGGGGCCAGCAGGGCCTGCTGCTCTCCGCCCACTCCACCCTGCAGCTCATGCGCACCCGGGGCGCCCAGCAGGCGGGCGAGGGCTCCCGGGGCCCGGCCCCCCTGGAGAGACCGGCGGAGCCCAAGGGGGCCCCGGAGCTGAAGAAGGACAGGCAGGCCAGCTGGTGGCTGCAGCTCACCCAGAGCTCCCAGGTCTACATCCAGGGCTCCCCGGAAGGCGCCCGCCTCGCCCACCCAGAGCGCAGGAAGAGGGCGGGGGCCAGGTGGGCAGAGGCCGGGAGGGCCCCTCCCCCGAGAGAAGGGGTGGTGGAGGGCGCAGAGGCCTGCCCCCCCACAGAAGCCCCCCCAGTCCCGGAGAGGCTTCCGGCCGAGGAGGCAAAGCCGCCCTGGAAGTCAGGCGCTCCGGCCGGGGAGGAGGGCAAGGAGAAGGGCCGGCCCTTCTGGATGGGCAGCCCCCCGGATGCCGTGCTGGCGGAGCTGAAGCGCAGCAGGGAGCAGGACCAGGCGGCGGCCCCAGGGAAGGAGCAACCCACCCCCCGCGTCCCCAGCGGCGGCCAGCCCAAGTGGGCACACCTCTTCGGATCCCGCCAGGCGCCCAAGGAGCCCAAGCAGGCCAACAGGTGGGGTCCCTGGCGGTCGGGCGCTGGCTCTGCCTTGGCGGCATTGCTTTGGGCATGGGGCAGGGCCGCCTGGACGGCTGACTTCCAGGCTGAGTGCTGCACCTGGGACTCCCCATCTGCGCAGCCCTTTCTAACAGCAGGAGGGAGGGGGAACGGGAGGGTTGCAGCAGGGGAGGCCTGGTATCTAACGCCCCCTTGTTGAATTGCGGGCAGGGCAGGGCAGGGCAGCGGGGCCCTTGTGGCCCCACCTGAGAGGGGATTTTTGCAGGAGACGCCGACTGTTGGTTTGGGGCCGCCCCGTTTTGTTTCGTGGGCATCCGGGTCCTGGGCTGGGCCAGATGGGAGGCTGCGCTGCCCAGCGGCTCAGGGCAGAGCCTGGGGCTGGGGGACTGGGGAGCAGCTGCCATCTCAGCTGGCAGAAGACGGGCGGGGGGACATTCCCAGGCAAAGCTGTGGTGCCCACGGCTCCGCTGACCTGACTGCTGCCCTCTCTGCAGGCTGCCCTCCGGCTGGCTGAGCCTGAACCGCTCCGTCTTCCAGCTGATGGCCCAGACGGTGGGCGCCAGTGTGTGGCGAGAGGACCAGGCGGCTCCCAAGCAGCTGCCCGCAGCCGAAGGCCAGCCGTCGGATGGCAGGGCCCACCCCAGTGCCCCATGGTGAGTGTGCTGGGGCTGGAGCTGGCCTGCTGGGAGGCCCCAACCCGCCTGGCTCTGCTCTGGGGCTGGCAGAGCCTGGACAAACCCCCTTCTGCCAGGGACCCCGTTGCAGGGAGGTGCTGCGTGTGGCTGTCGCTGGCTGGCCTCCCAAACCCTTTGGGCAGCAGACCTGGGGGAGGGAGGGGGCTGCCCGACCCTTGTGCACTCAGTTCCTGAGCCTGCCCAGAAGTGGCGGGGTGGCGGGGTGGGCAGCCATCCTCTCCGAAGCCTGGCTCTTGGCTGGCATGGCTTCTGGCACCTCACCCTGACTGAAGAGGGCGGGCACGGCTGGCTGGCAGGCACTTTCAGGGAGGGCTGCCTGGGCAGCCGGCCCTTGGAGGAAGAGACCTTCTGACTTTAGCCCGGCTGGGGTGCGGAGGGACGCAGCTGCCCCCCCCCCTGCAGTCAGCAAGAGCCCTGGTGGTTGGGGGCAGCTAGGCAGTAAAAGCGTTGGGGGAAACCAGAGTGGGGGGGCTGGGGGGGCTCTCCAGGGCTGGGAGGGGAACAGCCCGGCCCTTATGGCAGGCTCTCTTTCCCCAGGGCGGTGAAGGGCCTCTGCCACCACAGCGCCACCGAGGCCGGGCAACTGAGCTTCAAGAGGGGAGACATCCTGCGGGTGCTGAGCAGGGTGGACGCCGACTGGCTCCGCTGCAGCCGCCGGGAGGGAGCCGAGAGCGGGCTGGTGCCCATCATGTACGTCACCCACCTGGAGGATGCTGATTATTGATGGGCAGGGGATCCCTGGTGGTGCCCAGAGCCGTGCCGGCCCACAGGCCCCTCGCCAAGACTTCTCTTGCCTGCCCTGGGCAGTGGGGGGGGGGCTGCTCCTCTCTGCCGGGGCCTCCTGTGGCCAAACGTTCCTGTGCATGCGCCTCTCCCTCTTCCCCGTGGCCCCCACGCCTCGTCCGAACCGAAGTAGAGCCCCTCTGAAGGGCCACCAGGGCCCCGGAAGGCCTGCTCCAGACTTGGGGGGGCTGTGTGCTAACCTGTATTAATGCTGGGCAGGGGGAGGGGGGAGGGGAGGCGCCGGTGGGAGCAGCTCGGCCTCTCTGCATGCAGGCAGGTGGGGCCAGTCGCAGACGGTCTCTGCAGGAGCAGCTGTCCCGCCAGCGGTCCCACCGAGGGTGGATGCTTTGAAGCCAGAAGGGCCCCCAGGGCACAGGCCAGCGGGGGTCGGTGGGACCTCACGCCACTCGATGGGGAGAGGGTGTCTTTTGTGTGGGAGGGGTCAGAGCCTGGGTTGTATTCTGCCCCCCAGCGGTTGGGGAAGGGGGCTCTCCCCCCCCCCCAGCCAGAGGGCAGTGCCAGTCAGTATTTGGGGCTGGGCTGGGTGGGGCTTTCGCCTGCCCGCCCCGCCCCCTCGAAGGACCTGGTGAGAATGCAGGAGTCGGTCCTGCCAGGGGTGTGAGGGTGGCGCCATCTTTAATTTATACTTCCGGCGTTAGAACAGGGTGTCTCGCCTTTATTTATTTCTTTATTTATGACACGTATTAATAAAAAAGGTGCTGATTACAAGCTCCCTCGGCAGCCTGATGATTCCCCCCCCCCAGGACCCCTCCCACCTACACAATTTGAGCTGTCTTGATGCGTCGTTCAGAAGGATCTGGCTGGGCTGGTGGTCCTTTTGAGGGGTCCTTCGAGGAACCGCAAGGCAGGCAGGCCCCGAATGTGCTGTGGCCGGCTACCACCCAGAAAATGGACCGAGGGGGCAGGCGGGGGAGGGGTCTGGATCGAATGCCAGCAGAATCCCTGGCCACTGAATTCGCTCCTTTTCCAGGCTCTTGGAATGTGCCCTGAACGGAGGGCTGCCTGGGCGTGGGAGCCTCCAGCTGGACGTGGCTCATCTCTGAGGTGGGAGAGGCCTTTCTACTCCTCACCCGAGCCCAAGCTGAAGAGCAGCTCCCCCCTTTCCCCCTTGGTGCCCACCGCCCCGGCCGGCTGAGGAGCTCCTGGAGTTGAAGCCAAGGTGCCCCCATTGGAGTCCCCTGCTGCAAAGGGGTCTGCTCCCTTCGGGCAAAGCAGGAGGCATGGCAGAGAACTGGCCACGGGCCCACAGGGAGGGGCGTCTGGGCCTCTGATCCTGGGCACTCGGAGGGCACGCTCTTTGCTCCACAGGTTGCGATGGTGTGATTTGCGGGGGTCCTGGCTTGTGTCTCGTGCCACCGTTCTGGCTTAGAGCCTGGAAGCCAAAGGTCACCTTGCCCTGGCATTGGGTCCTCCCTATGAGCCCTCCGGGCTGAAGGCACGGCCGTCCCCAGGGTGGGGAGCTGTGCTGCCAGGGGAAGCCCATGGGTGGCCCCGCCTCGGACGCACCTCCTCCCTCCCGCAGCACCCCAATGCAGCAGCCACAGGGGGGCCCATAATGGAGGGCGGTCACCAAGGCATGGGTTAACCCTTGCCAGGGCCTGAACCTGGCTGGTGAAAGGTCCTTTGCGCCACAGGGTGTCAGAGGGGGATCCAGGCGCCACTGAGGGCAGAGAAGGCATATGAAGGTACCGCGTGGTGAGGGGGCACAGCTGGCCTCCACTGAAGCCCTTCCACCTCCTGTGTAGAGTGATCACCCCCCGGGACCCCAGGGGTTCCCTTCTGCTTCTTGCCAAGGGGCTCAGAAGCAGGCGCAGCCCCTCCCCTCCCAGGGAAATGGCCTCCCAGCTAGGAAAACGGGGCTCCCGGGAACTCGGTGCCTTTCGGAGTGCCATGGATCCGGAGACGGGCAGCTCAAGAGCCCCAGAAATCTGGGGAGCCTCTGGCACCAGCAGCCCCACAGCCTGTGTTACGCGGCCACAGCCCACGCAGGATGGCGCAGTGGGCTCTGAGAGGGTGCTGGCGAGGGAGCCACGAATTCCTCTACTGTGTGACGTCCCGCACCTGCTTCTCCAAGGTGGTTTGGCCCAGGGCGTCACGGGTGAGGTGGCCGTAGGTGTGGCCGAATTGGAACTTGTAACCTGCGTTCAGAGAGCGAGAGAGGAGGGAAGGAGCAACCGTCGTGGGCAAATCCACAGCTGCAGTTCATGCCATCCATGCCCGACTGCCTGTTTGGTGCCTGCCTGCAGCTCAGGGGACCCTGCCAGAGAAGCCCTGGCACCCTCTGCCACTGGGCTGGCAGGAATCTCTGCAAAGGTGGGTTTGGATCCTTTTTCTCAGGAGGTTCTCCCTGGACGTTCTGCCTGGCCGGTTGTGGCTTCCCTTCAGGGCCCGGAGCGGGCGATGGGCAGCTGGACTGTGAACGCTTGCCACCCCTGGCGGCTCCCGTGTCTGGCATCAGAGGCACAAGGAGCAAACCCCCCCTCCCCTCGGGTGCTGGGTGCTCCCCTGGCAGGAGGCTGAGTTGCCTGGAGCCGTGTGAAAGAGGCCGGGATCCAAGGAACAGGGGGGGGGGGCGTAAGTGGGAGCACTCACCTGGCACGTAGCCTCTGTAGTGGGGCAGGAGGCCCCTGTCTGTGGGGTACGTCTTGGCCAGGGGCGGGAGGGGATCCCCCCTCTGGGAAGAGTCCCGCCCGGTTTTGCCCAGCATCTCCTCAAACTCCAGCATGGCCCGGTGGGCCAGAACGGGGAAGCCTGCTCCGATCAGGAACTGGAGCCGAGGCACATAGCCGGTGAAGCCTGCGGGACGGAGTCGGGGGGCTTCAGCCACAGGCCCCTCCCTCCTGCGAGGGAGCCCGGCCCCGGCGGGGATCGGTCATGGCTCCAGCCAGTCGGGTCTTTCTGCAGCTGCCGGGGCCAGGTGTCACCTCCCCCCCCAGCCCCCCCCCAGGCCGGGGAGTCCCGCTCGGTTTGGAGCCCCCACCCGGCTGGACCCACAATTGTCCAGGGTAATTGTTGCTTCCACACGTGGCCTCTGAAGCAACGGGGGCTCCCGGATTCCCTCTCCCTCCCCTGGGGTCTCTCTCTCCTGGGCAAGCCCCTCGGCTCCTAGGCCACCTTTGCCTTCTCTGCCTGCAGAGCCACAAACCCTGGCAGCCCCCTGGGCCCTCGGCCCTAGCAAGCCGGGCCCTGAAAGCCCCCAAAGAGACTCGGGGCTCCGTGCCAAGCAGGCCTTGGCTCTCTGGGGCAGCAAGGAAGAGGCTGGGGGGCCTGAAGGGGCACAGATATGCGTCTCTTCCAGGCTGGTGGGAAGCGGCATTTCAGCCTCTCGCCTGCGAGACCAAGGGAGCCCCCCCACTCGCCCTCTGGGACATGCGTGCTCCCTCCTCCCCTCCTCCTCTGGAGCCTGACCTGGAAGGAAGGTCCTCTCCCACGCAGGGGGCCTGCCTGGGGCCCCGAAAGCCAGGGGGGCAGCAGCAGCATCCGTGCCAGCCGTGGGCAGGGCAGGGCGAGGCTAGGAGCAGAGCAGAGTCGGCCGTGAGTCCCTGGAGGCCTCTGGCCGCTCCTCTCACTGAAGCAGCATCTGGCAGAGAGCATCTGGCAGACCCCCCCCCCCCAAGAAGGGTCCCACACACACACACCCCGTGGCCACACACACTGCCTGCCTGCCTGCGAGATCGGAGGTGGCTCCTCCCAGAGATCTCTTGGAGGCTTCCAAGGCGCTTGTCCTCTTCGCTTCTCATTAGTGTTGGGGGGGGAGACCCCGCCCAGGGCCCCAGGGAGGGGGCTTTGGACCCATCGTGGGATGCTATAATAGGGGAACACTCTAGCCTCGCCCCTGTGCCCCCTCCTCAAGTCATGGCCCAGCTGGGGAGCCTCTGTGCTGGGATGCGGAGGAGGGGGAGGCCCCCACTTGCACAAGCTGGGGGGGGGAGCACCAGGGCTCAGGCTGTGCCCCTTTTGGTCTCTCGGGCAGATCCAGCCCTTCCCCAGCCCCCAGCCCTGCACTCACCCCATAGCCCCCACCTGCCACTTACTCCATTTTCCAGCTGGGGGGCTTCGGTCCCCTCCCCGGCTTGGCCCCGCTGTGGCCCAAACTCCAGCCAGGCCTGCCTGCAGATTTCTCCATAGGTCTTGGCAAAGTGGTGCTGGGCCCTGGGGACGAATCCTGCCAGGAGACACGGGGGAGCTGGGAGGAGGCGCCGTGGGGCCCCAGGAAGGCTCTGGGCTCAGCTAGGAATCCGGCTCTGGGCAGCGCCACAACCATGGGGCACAGCTGGTGCCCCTTTCCCTCCCTCCGAGATGGAGGGAGGACTGGCTTGCTGGCGCTGGGAGCTCTGGCCCGGCCTGCAAGGGGGGGGAGGGTGTGTCTAGGCAAGCACCCCACTAGGACCCCCATACAACCTTCCCCTCCCCTTCCCGCTTTGCTTTGCTTTGCTGAGTCCACCCCCCCCACCGCCTGCAAGGGGCCGAGGGATGCCTTCGCTTCCGTTGACCCGCCTGGCCCGCTCAGCCGCGGGGGGGGGGGGTAGGGGGGAGCCCACCTCCCAGCACCGCTTACCGGTATAGCCCGGGACCCCGCCGCAGCCTTTGCCCCGGGCCCTCCGGCCGAGCCCCGGGCGCTCCTTCGGGGCGCAGCTGGGCTGCAGGAGCGGCCGGCCCGAGCGGCTGGGGGCGGCCAGCAGCTGCCACGTGAGCTTCCCGTAAGTCTGGCCCAGGGTGAACTTGTAGCGGGGACAGTAACCGCCGTAGCTGCAAGGACAGGAGCGGGAGAGGCCGCCCGCCCGCCGGCCGTCAGCGCTCCCGGCTCGGCCCCGCCAAGCTCAGCGCCCGGCCTCGTACCGGCCCGGCTGCACTTGCCCGAGGGCCGCCGTTGCCTTGCTTGGCCCGGGCTCTTGGCGAGGCTCCGGCCGGAAGGTGTGGCCGGGGCCCCGCCGCCTTCCAGCGCCCTCGCGGCGCCCTCCGCCCGCCCGGCCCAGCCCCGCCGCCGCTCGGGACACGCGAGGAACCTGCTCCCCCCCCGCGACCCGACCCGCCCCGGTGGCTACGCAGCGCCGGCAGCCGGTGGGCGGCGGGGCAGAGGCCTGGCGGCGGGGCCGCTGTTGGTGCGCCCCGGGCGAGGTGCCCGCCGGCCGCTCGTCCACCTCTGCCCCGACGCGCCGCCCAAGCCGGGCCGGGGGGCTGTTGGGGGCAGCGGGGGCCTCGGGACCGGCTCTTACCCAGGAAGGAAGTGGGGCTCCGGGGTCATCAGGTCCTGGCCGAGTTGGGGGGCAAACGCCGCCGGGGCCGCCGCCGGGGCCATGATCTGCGGAGCGGCTGGCGGGAGCCGTGGCCGGGCCCGGTTTTGTATGTGTTGTGGGGAGGAGCCGGGATGGGCGCTGCTGCCCAGGGAAACCGTCGCCAGGCAGAGGCGCGCCAGCCTTGCCGGGCAGGGGGGCGAAGGGAGAGGGCAGGGGGAAGGGAGATTTCGGCTGCCTTCGGCGCTGGGGGGCAAGAGGCGCCCTCGGCCAACATTGCTGGCTCAGCCGCCTGCCTGGCCTTGGGGGCCTGGGGAGAAAGCAGCCCTGGAGGGTCGGGGAGGCCGGAGGGTCCTCGGGGCAGAGCAGGGAAGGGCGCAGAGCCGGCAGCAGGAACAGCAGCACAAAAGGGGGG